AATACAACAAGAATGGTTTGCAAGACATGGATGTAACCTGGCAGCCAAGTCAAGTGGACTGGGGTGCGCATGCGTGAACAATGACGTCACATATACTAAGTCAGGGCGGCTTAGACCGCCATTTGAGTGAGCACTGTGTCACTGGTGGCGTCACAATGCCAAAATGGCTGAGCAAAGTAGAGGGCAACGAATCTCATCAAGATTTTGTGTTAAGCCTGAACATTCCTCCGAGGAAACTATTCGGATGACTCAGAAGGCTTTTGGGACAATGCAATGAGTGCCGCTTCAGAGGCAGTTGAGAGTCTGTTGAAAGTGATCCATGTTCTGGAAAGCCTGCGACAAGCAGAACACCTGAGAACATTGGATGTGTACAGATTAGTTTAAGAGACGCTGGGAGAATTATGTGATGTCTCAAGGTGCCTACTTTGAAGGAGACTGAGGTGTCATTGTCCTGTGTACAATGTTTCTTGCATCTTGAATTTTCTTCAAATCCAATTCTCTGTTTTTCAAGTACGCGGGATGCTGGATACTTTCGGCAAGAGCACACCTCATAATATATCATCATCCATCATAAATCAGTGTCCACCAAAATCAGCGCTTAAGAATATGTGATGGTTTGGGCCAGGCGCGTGGCTCACGCCTGTAATCCCTAGCCTCTGGGCAGGCTGGAGGCGGGCGGCATTGTTCAAGTCAGGAGTTCTCAAACGCAGCCTGAGCGAGACCCCCGTCTCTACCAAAAAAAATACGAAAGAAATTAGATTGACCAACTAAAAATATATATAGCAAAAAAGTTAGCCGGGCAATGTGCGGCACATGCCTGCTCACACTCCCAGCTACTTCGCGAGGCTGAGGCAGAAAAGGGGCATCGGCTCGGAGCCCAGGGTTTGAGGTTGCTGTGAAGCAGGCTGACCCCACGGCACTCACTCCCTAGGCCTTGGGGGCAACAAAAAGGTAAATATTTTTTTTTATACTTTATTGCATCCTCTCCTTTCTGGGTGCTGCTTTGTAATCATAAGTGAGATAAATTCACGTGTGGCTGCTTCTGATAAAACAATTTTGAATGTATCTCTTAAATTCTAATAGGAGCTTCTGAGTAGGACATCTTTAGAAACTCAGAAATTGGATCTGATGGCCGAAATATCAAACTTGAAGTTAAAACTGACGGCTGTGGAGAAGGACAGACTGGATTATGAAGATAGGTTTAGAGACACAGAGGTAAGTGACACCATCTCTCTGTCTGTCTGTCTGTCTCCTTTCCCACCTTCCTTCTCTCACACACATTTCTGGGGCAAAGTTGAAATCCCTAGGAGGTGTGCAGGGAAGGTATATGCCCTCATCCTGCTTCATTTTAAGAATAAACTTTAATTACATTGACTTCTGATCACTAAATGTGAATGGCAATTTTTAAAACATTTTTAAGACCTTTGATATGAAATATTAATCCTTTCACTAACCTTTTAAAATACTTTGGACTTCAGCATATTTAGAGCATCCATCCGTTCATTTATACTCATTTTCTTAATTGTATAAATAATGGGTTTTAATACATGGTTTTGCTAGTAGTTATTATTTAGGCACAATGATTACTTACTATGTAGTTGGTTTTTTTTTTTTATATAGAGAAGATGCTTATATAATCACAAAATCATAGTTTTTTGAAGGTCACTTAATTTGGCCTTCTAATTTTGGTCTATTTTACACATAAATCCTTCCAGTTAAATAAAGCTTACTATACTTTTATGAAATTCAAGGTATAATCTACAACTTGATAGTGGCTAAACAAGCTTTTTTGTTTGTTCTACCTATTTTACTATTTTATTGTTAATCCAGATCTTCTAGTTTATTCGTTTGTTTTGCTGGTGGGGGGAGAGAGCATATCCATTTGAAATCTGTTCATTTGAAATGAAATGTGAAGAGCTGCAGAAATTCCTTCTGAGGGCCATCTTCCCTCCTTTTTTCTATTTTGTTTCTTTGGTTGGAATTTGGAGAGGTGTCACACTGGATTAGAAGACGGATACCAAGAAGGAGAGAGGAGAGGAAATTATTTATTCTTGCTCTCCATCTTTATCTCAGACATTTATTTTATGCTGACTATATGCCATTATGATACCGGGTATATTACCTATATTATCCGGCATTTGAAAGTTCTTAAAAGTTCTTTGTCAATCACCTGTATGAGCATGTTTCCCATTTGATTGAGAGCGGGGCTCTTAAAATAAGACTTAGAAAATTAATCAGTTTTAAAATTCTTGTTTTGCGCTTTCTTTAAAAATCTGCTCTGATGTTTTCCTCTTTCACTTCTTTTTGTCATTCCCCACTCCATAGTCACTATCAAAGGTAGTAACAGAATTCTGTTAACAGATGAACAACACGGTAGTGGAGCCAGCTCTGCTGCAGGGAAGAAATTGCAGTAGATGGGCATAGACGTGGCCTTCTCCATGTGTATGCAAAGTCTAGGGGAAGTCTTAACCTGTGTGACTGTTGTTCGTTTAACTTGGGTACAAGATGTTCACCAAATGTTAGGACTTCATTGTAGTAGATTTTTTTTTTTTTTGAGGGGTAGGAGTCCAGAGTAATATTTACATCTCTTGAGTTTGGCTGCTGTTTGTATCAACCTCTTTCTCCCCACTGCTTCCCTACTTCACTCATGGATCCCCAATCACATGCAGAGTGATCTTGTCAGCACACTTCCGGTAAACTTGATGCCTCTGATCATTTTCTAATAAAAATTCAACACTGTTGGTAAAATGTCATACGCACATACCCGGAGATGATAGAATAGTTGATAAACTTTGTGATGTTATATATGAAAATAATTAAAATGGTCCTCCAAATTAAAACTGAATTGAATATCCTTATGTTCCTGTTATTGTTCCCTTCATAAAAGCAAAATATTTTCCTGGATGCTTCATGGATCAAAAATCTTTCACTTTGTCTTAGAGTTTTAGATTATTTTGATATTAATTTCTAAGAAAATATTGTCATGGGGAAGAAGTATAGGCATTTCGAAAGGATTGGGGGTAAAAGTCTTATTAAAACCTTGGAAAATTCAGGACTTGCCTGTCCCAGGAATTGTAGATGGGAGGTGGTTAGCATCATTCAACAGTGCCCCCTTCTGGTAAGAGCACGCATGTCAGAGATTGAGTTCCTTGGGAGGCCTGGCGAGTTCTCTGAAAGGGAAAAGGGAAAATTAACAAGGTTTTTCTTTTTTAAAAAGAACTGAACTTTTGCTAAGAACTTAATTGAAATAATTTTTATTTTGTTTTTCAAAGTTTCACATTAAGGAGCTATTGCCAGATTTTCCAGCTTGAGTTGTCATGGGAAGATAAGAATTTTTTTCAGGTTGGAAATCTAGATTCATTTTCAAAGCGTTGTGGCAAACGATAATTAGGTAGTTTTTTAAAAACAGAAAAAAGCATCCCAATTTATAATTTCATTTTTTTCAGTCGTTTCTTCTTTGCAAATTGCCACTATTTCTAAAAGTGGTGAAATATAACACATTCTGTCTCTGTACACACCATATTGATGAAGGCAGACTACTAAGGACTCATATTGTGCAAAGATGACTCATTTAATAAGTGGGAGAAACTGCCCTTTTTTTAAAACTTGAATTCTGAGCTGTTAGAGAAGGAATCACAAATAAAATGTTACTGAATGTCAAACAGTTGTTGACCTCATTGATACAAGGAGAAAATAGATTTCCTCATATTGAAATATTATATAATTATTAATGAGTAAGTACATAATGACGGCAGATAATATTTTTCCCATTTTACAAGAGATCACAGTTTAAAAGCCTGTGGGTTTACTGGGAAGTGTATTTCGGTATAGCATCCCTTTTCCTAGTCTTTGTGAGGCCGAAGAAGCATTACACTTGGAAGTTTAGAATAATCCCTCGTCACAAAGTTTTACTTCTTATAGCATTAATTCTACTTTTTTTTCTTTTACACTCTTGTTTAATTACAATCTTGTAATTTATGAATTTTGGGCCCAGGAATAAATGTCTTGTAAAAAGAGAGGAGCAGAAACATATTGACTATTTATTTGATGGATCTTTGTTGCTGGTAGTAAAAAAAAAAATCATCTTCTACACAGAGTATGTGAACTTCTCTTTTAGAGGAGTTGTTATTACTTAGCACTCTAATTTCCTTTTCCTACTCTCTGGGCTCTGGACAAAAATATGAGGCTATTTCTCAGAATATTTAGACAAGTTTTATAAGTAAATTATTTTTTTTAAAAGGCAGTAGGAAAGGTGTCAAATTGTATTGTGTCATAAAAACATTAGGATTGCTTTCTCTTTCATTATCCAAAATTAAAATTGTACTGTGATACCGAATATATGCTTAAACTACCTACCGGGCCCTCATCCACCTTCAAACTGAGAATCTGGCTTAAAGGATTTAAATTTCATTCCATTGACACAGATTGAGTTGATAAGCAATCTGGATTTTTGTAGACCAAAGAAGTAATTATAAAAAAATATTTTTATGAATACCCATATATCACTGAAAAGGCCCTAAAGGTAAATGCCTTTTTTAAGGAATGTGGCATATTTTAAAAGGTAGAGTTCATACAGTCATTTTTGGTCTAGAAATATCTGCAGATGATAGTAAATCAGATATTAAGCTACCTTTCCCTTTTTTTTTTTTTTTTTTTTTTTTTGAGTCAGAGTCTCACTTTGTTGCCCGGGCTAGAGTGAGTGCCATGGCATCAGCCTAGCTCACAGTAACCTCAAACTCCTGGGCTCAAGAGATCCTACTGCCTCAGCCTCCCGAGTAGCTGGGTCTACAGGCATGTGCCACCATGCCCGGCTAATTTTTTCTATATATTTTTAGTTGTCTAATTAACTTCTTTCTATTTTTAGTATAGATGGGATCTCGCTCTTGCTCAGGCTGGTTTTGAACTCCTGAACTTGAGCGATCCTCCTGCCTCGGCCTCCCATAGTGCTAGGATTACAGGCGGGAGCCACTGCGCCCGACCCTAAGCTACCTTTCTTAATCAAAAGTATAAGTCACTTTCCTGATATAGTTCCTTGTTTCGTTTTGGACAGGGCCTAATTCAGGAGATCAACGATTTGAGGTTAAAAGTCAGTGAAATGGACAGCGAGAGACTTCAGTATGAAAAAAAGCTTAAGTCAACCAAAGTAAGTTTTCTCACTGCCTAAAATTTTTAAACAAATGGCTCTACTACTCATCTTTGACCAATAATATAAGTAAAATATGTTTTCTACATAGTATATGCTAAAGAAGGTATTTTGTAAGTGAATGAAGTTTTCCTCCAAGCTGGAAAGCTTCTTGAATTTAAACACTGCTGTTCTGAATAAAAACCAAGGCTTAACTAATCTGACAGAGCATAACCTGCCATTTCTGTGAGTGATATCTAACCTCTTTTATAAACTGATGCTGTTTTTCTTGTTTATTTAGCTTGTCTTTTTCTACCTGTAGTTTTCTTTCACTCCTCTGTCTCTCTACCAGTCTTTAATGGCCAAACTTTCTAGCATGAAAATCAAGGTGGGTCAGATGCAGTATGAAAAGCAGCGGATGGAACAAAAACGGGAGTCACTGAAGGTGTAGTAGACTTGGGTCATAGGATCCACGGCCTGTTGCTTTTCTGGCTTGTGTCATTTTGCTGTGATGGTGGTTTTAGTGGTGTGTGCATTCGTTTGGTATGTGTGTCACCTGTTCATTGAAAAATACATTTCAAGCTGATTAAAGGGACAGCGTGATCCCTAATAATTGTTTTCTAAAACATATGAAATAATTAGTGAAAATTAAACAGGTAAATAAAAGCACTAATTCATAAATTAAATCTAACCTTAGACTATTGGAGACCCAAACATGGTAAAATAGTTGTAGAAGCTCACCTGTGAAAGAATTCTCTTGCATCCCTCAGTGTTTGCTTATACAATAAAATGGAAAAAAATATAAAGATAAAAGAATAAAAAACAAAACAAAATAGAATTCTCTTGCATACCAACAGCAGAGACTGCTTTCCTCCTTAGAGACTTTCTGGAAGGTAAATGTCCAGTAGTTTACTGTACCATGGCAGTGAACAGAAATTACTGCTTATAAGCAGAACTGTGAGAACAGGGCAGCACTTCTTGCTAGTGCTACTGAAAATTTCTTATACTTGGTGTTCTAGAGTTCTTGGTGTTCTAGCTATGTTTTCATGTGATTATATGTAATAAATATTTTTATAGACCTCTGAAATAAAATGGGATAGCGAATATAAAGGTATACTTAATAGCATTGCATAGCTCTATTTTCTGTGTTAAATATAGCCCACAAAACTTAAATTTGTTGAGCCAGGCTTGGTGGCTCATGTAATCCTAGCACTTTGGGAGGCTGAGGCAAGAGGATCCCTCGAGCTCAGGAGTTCGAGACCAGCCTGGGCAAGAGCAAGATCTTGTCTCTATTAAAAATACGTCAATGAGCTGGGGGTCATGGTGCACGCCCTATAGTCCCAGCTACTCTGGAGGCTGAGGCAGGAGGATTGCTTGAGCCCAGGAGTTTGAGGTTGCTGTGAGCTAGGCTGACACCGTAGCACTCTACTAAGTGCAACAGAGTGAGACTTTGTCTCAAAAAAACCACAAAAAAACTTGAATGGAATCTTTTACAGTTGCATAGCTAAAAAATAAAGAGGACTTAAAAACCTGTTTCCTAAATGTATTTTTTCCCATTGTTGTAGGAGATTTTGTTCTTTTATCTTAGTGGTGAAGATGAATTATTTAGTTCTGAAAGTTGGCTAAAGTTGTTCATGACTTGCTGCTGTTCCCGCTAATTAATTTCTGTGCTTGCCCAAGATGCATGAGTGCCATCTTGAAACACTGAGTAAATGTCAAGCAAGTCTTTTCCAATTTTCCAGTTTGCATTTTATTTTGCTTTTATGATTCTAAGTATCTAATTTGATTATTTTCCTTGCTTAACTTTTTTTTTAATTTAACCTAAGATTTAAACTTTAGGGCTCTCCTGGCCCTAATTATACTGTAAAGGATTTATTTTTAATTTGATCACAAAGAAACTTGAAATATTTATACCATAACTACTAATAATTGGACTTCCATTAATAGTCTTGCTTCCTGTTTCTCATTGCCCGTAATTTCTGATGTTTGTGTCTAAATTCTTATAGATTCTTGCTTCATTTGTAAAATTCAGTTATATATTTAAAGAGCTAAGATGCTCTCTGAATATTCTCTTTTGGTCATAATCTATTTTTAAATGGATTTACAATTTGTAGGATGAACTGGCATCTTTAAAAGAACAACTGGAAGAAAAGGAAGCAGAAGTAAAAAGGCTACACGAAAAATTGGTTTCCAAGGTGAAAGGAGAAGGGATTGAAATTCTTGATAGAGGTAAGAAGATATGCTAAACATTTGTTATCTCGTTAAAATTCTCCAAAATCTGTAGAAGAAACTGATGTTAGTGTCAATGTGTAATTTTAGCATCAGAGAAAGAGTAGTGGAAGCCAGGACTCTTCACTGTGCCTGGGAATCCATTAACTTCCTTTTCCACAGCTGGAGAAGGACACTTCTGTCATGTTAGATTGCCAAGTTGTAAATTCTCGTCACAAGAACGTACTTCTCCAAATTGCAATACAAGGGAATGTCACAATAATTAAAAGGAACCACTACTATGTCCCAAGATTGTTTCCCCTGGAACTTAAAATAGAGACGAAATAAAGTAAGGAATTTGGAAACCTATCCTGTTCTTTTGAGGGAAGAGACGAATGGCTCTGTATCTTTGGAAAATTATTGAAAATGTCATACCAAGGTTTGAAACCTCAACCTTTTAGAAGGCCAAAATAGACTAATTCTGCTTTTAGGAAAACTTACAAATTTATCCAAGTTTTTTTTCATACCAGAGGAGATTCTGAGTATGATATGGGCTATAAGTTCTTTTTTTTTTTTTTTTGGACACAGTCTCACTTTGTTGCCCAGGCTAGAGTGAGTGCCGTGGCGTCAGCCTAGCTCACAGCAACCTCAAACTCCTGGGCTCGAGTGATCCTCCTGCCTCAGCCTCCTGAGTAGCTGGGACTACAGGCATGCACCACCATGTCCAACTAATTTTTTGTATATATATTTTTAGTTGGTCAATTAATTTCTTTCTATTTTTGGTAGAGATGGGGTCTCGCTCAGGCTGGTTTCGAACTTCTGACCTTGAGCGATCCTCCCGCCTCGGCCTCCCAGAGAGCTAGGATTATAGGCGTGAGCCACCACACACGGCCAAGGGCTATAATTTCTAATAATGTAGGTTATACGTGTTAGAAAATACCTTGAATGAAATGTGGTTTTTTAAAGGTTATATTTGGAAATATAATGCGTGTAACATCTGACAATATTAGGTCAAATTTATCTTTTCTTTGTGATTACAAATGACAACTGTGGCACTGTGAGATAGGAAACCAACTTCTGACTCATTCAAAAGAGCCTGCTAGTAGTTAGTGTAGCTTTCGTACATTTTCATCTGTTGTGTGGAAATTAGTAACATTATTGTCTGTAAAATGAGGGACTTGAATGAGATTACCTCCAAAGTCTGTCTTGGCTCTAGAATACCATGGCTTTATATACCTGTAGGTCTCACCTTTTTGTATCCATCAGAAAACCCAGTTCATCAAACTCAAGGGAAATGGACTCCCCTCTCCTACATTTTGGCACAGGTAGAATTGTACATGATTAGGACATTCAGAAACAGGTCATGCCTTTAGGGTTTTAAGAATAAAATGGGATCACAGGACTTGGGGGCTAGACGATATATTAGGGTAGTGCTACCCAGAGTCTGATCCGGCAACCGGAACCAGTGTGGGGGCTGCTTGTTATCAGTGCAGCACCAAGTAAATACAGGGCTTGAGAGCAAGTGTTCAGAAACCTCCTGGCAGTCTGCTGTTGGCACAGCATCTGACTGCATCCTCAGTGCCCTCATCTCATTGAACGGGGGAGAGACTGTTTCAGTGTTGTTGAACTTGAGTGGGGAGTTGGACGTGACACAGGCAGTGGAGGACCAGGGATCACACTGTGATGGAAATGTAAAAAACAGCCAAAGTGACGTTAACTGGCTTTTCATCACATATGGTGCAATAAGTGCTTGTACTCCATAAGCCTAATTTTAATGCGAGAAAATCAAGGTTCAGAAAGATGATGTGACAGAGGTAAGTAGCTTGAATTTAGGTCTTCTGATTAATTACAACACATTCTCTTTCCAACCTCACACAGAGCATTATTTATTGGACTGCCAATCTGAATTCACAAAATAGAGCTTAATGTTCCATTTTTATGAGGTTAGAGTTCCTCTGTTTTGGGTAAAAGGAGACTAAATAACAGTGCTTCGAAAATATTTTGTTGTAATTTATGCTAACTTCCAAATTCGATGGGTTTTCCTGAACAGATGAAAATTTTAAAAAGAAGCTCAAAGAAAAAAGTAAGGTTTTGGTGTATTTCCATCAGCCTTTACATTCACCAAAAACATTGCTTGGACTGTTCTTTGCATGTGTTAAACATTTCTCTCACTAAAGATGAAAAGTTGCTTCATCAATAAGCCCTCCATTTCTTCAAAGTGTGCAAAATAGAGGGTAAACAAACAATCGAAACAAGGGGTTAAAAAGTCATTGTGTGGATTTTGTCTGTTCAGCCCTTTGGCTCTACAGGATACAACAGGGCACAGAGTGGTGGATATAAGAACACGTTTTCCTTGTGATCCAGATGATATAGGGTCAGAGGAGAAAATAACTTTTATACTCCTGTGAAAACCCACTATTGTAAAGGTTCGCCAGAGTTGAAAAATAGTTTTGAACTTTGTTTTTGCTTTTCAATGTTTCGAAGTCCACTGTTTGTCTCAGGTCTGCATTGGAAGCTCCTTTGAACATATGTTCTTGGCTAGAGCAGAGGTTTTATCCAGGCTGTTTAATGGAACCTTGATTACTTAGTGCAACATCCAGAAAAGTCCTTAGTGAGCTCTTTCCCTCCACACCTTGAAATTTCGTATCCTATAGAATATATCCTAATTGACAACGTTCCATCAGCACTGAATGATATGCCACTATTTTGAAAATTATCTAGACTAGTATTTTTTTTTTCTCAGAAGCAGGCAATTTTAGCTGAATTTTTTTTCCCCTCTGTTTCAATTTTTTAGTTTGTGTTTTCACTTTGGGGTGACTTTTCACCTTCAAAATGTTTAAGTGTTTAATTATTCAAGTAACATGCTTTTGTATTTGAATATCAAATTTGAAGGGAAACCACATTCGACTTACTTTGGCCTTTATGTCTTGAAATCTGTTTTAAAATACTATTGGAAATGAAGTTTATAGATGAAGCAAATACTTACTATCCTTCTATATGGAACCACAACCAGCTTCCTAGCATGAGTACTCATGTACATATCACACTGCCTCAGGCTCTCACCACCGTGCCTCCCTCTGGGTTATGACTGAATGTCATTTTCTCTGCTTTTGTCATCATGTCAGCTGTTCATTGCTTTCACCCACTGCTTCATAGGTTCCCTTTTTTTTTTTTGAAAAGTCTGTATTTTTATTGTTTTTTTTTTTTTTTTTTTGAGACACAGTCTTGCTTAATGCCCAGACTAGAGTGAGTGCCCTGGCGTCAGCCTAGCTCACAGCAACCTCAAACTCCTGGGCTCAAGCAATCATCCTGCCTCAGCCTCCCCAGTAGCTGGGACTACAGGCATGCGCCATGCCCGGCTAATTTTTTCTATATATATCAGATGGCCAATTAATTTCTTTCTATTTATAGTAGAGACGGGGTCTCACTCTTGCTCCTCAGGGTGGTTTCTAACTCCTGACCTTGAGCCACCGCACCCAGCCTTTATTGTTAATAGCACTGAAATTTCATCTTCAGTGTTCTTCGTGAAGATTTTATTATCGCCCTGAAAAGATAGCTAGCTCTCACGTACCCTTATTATTTTCTTTCTGGAATGACAACTGTGGGGGGTGAGATAGAAGGTGTTCATCTTTCAGATTTTCCCTCAGAGAGAATCTGGCTGTTAAATGTGCCCTTTTTGAAAAGCAAATAAATCATTAACATCTTGACCTTACGGTATTTCAATCTGGAGAGTAAGTAGCTTCTCGTCATTGTCACATGTTGTTAACTGGCTTCTGACTTGATGTTGTGTTACTTTCAGATATTGAAGTACAAAAAATGAAAAAGGCTGTGGAGTCTTTGATGGCAGCAAACGAAGAAAAGGTATTCAGATGACATTTAAATGTTCATGTGGATGTTTTTGTAACACCATTCTGAGGATCCCATGCAATTTCGTGAGATATCCTATTTTGAAAGAACATACCCCAAACACTACTGACATTGAGGGGCAGGTGTGCCCTGTCCCTGCCCCGGTGTGCACACTCCCAGCGGTGGCAGCTGTCGTCGTGGCTGTGTGCACAGGAGTAGGCACCAGCAGTACCGGCTCACCCGAGAACCCCCACCAGCACGAATTTAGAAAATGTCTCAGCATTCAGATCAGTTCCGCATATTCAGGTGACAAAGGAAAGGATACATTCCATGGCACATCCTTTCTGTGGTCACTGGAAATTCTGAAGGAGGCAGCCCCATGACAGGCTTGGCTTCACAGTCATGGTGGATTTCTTCTCCATAGACATGTTATTTCCTTCATGCTGCTGGCCGCTTTCACATCTGGGCTTGTCTCTGCTCTCCTGAGAGATGAAATACCAGAAAACAGAGTCTCGGGCTTTGCTTTTTAGCTACATTGGCCTAATACCAAGGTCTCCACGGGTTCCTGTCCCCGCAGTTGGATCTCCTCACCCGCGTCTGGTGTTTGATCCTGCTAAGAGCACGGATGCAGTTACCCCACTAAGGCGCGTGTTTATCACGGCTTACCTGACCACACACGGATCTAGCACAGCCACAGTCAGGCTCAGCTCTTGTCATCAGAACTGCTCTCCCCTTGTGCACCTGAATGATGAGAACAAGGGGACATTTTCTTAAGAAAAGAGTAATTTCAAGGAAGTAAAAACACAAAATGCCAAAGAACTTTGGCTTGGTCTTTTTCTCATTATAGGTTTCTTTCTTGAATTCTTGCCTACTCTGTTTTTCTTCTTACCTACTTTTGCCTGTCACTCTCTTTATTTGCTCTTTTATTCTATAGAAATGAACTCAGTATCATACCCACTCCCCTAGATATAGGCTCCTTTTTGCTAATCTTTCCTACTATTGAATGAAAAGTAATTAGCAAGCTGCCCATCATAGCTTTTATTTTTTTAAAAACAAAACCAAAAAATCACTGAAATTTATTTTGTTTTAATTTCTCTCCCTCAAAAAGCAGCAACATGCCAGATGCAGTGGCTCACACCTATAACCTCAGCACTTTGGGAGGCTGAGGAGGGAGGATCACTTGAGGACAGGAATTTGAGACCAGCCTGGGCAGCATAGTGAGACGTGGTCTCTATGAAAAGCAGAAAAAATTAGTTGGGTGTGGTGGCACAAGCCTGTAGTTCCATACTTGGGAGGCTGAGGCAGGAGGATCCCTTGTGGTCAGGAGTTTGAGTTTGCAGTGAGCTGTAATGACACTACTGCACTCCACCCTAGGCTACAGAGCAGCAAGACCGTGTCTTTAGAACAAACAAACAAAAGCAGCAACAGCCAACAAAATTCCCGGTGTTGAATGAGGGCTTACTAGATGCTCAAACTGCTATAGGAGCACCAAGAGTGTAACTTCCTTGGGGCTTCCAGAAGGCTTAAAAGAAGACATATTTGAGCAAATTCTGAGGAAGAGTGAGAGTTGTTCATCAGGAAAATGAAGCTTCTGGGCAAAGGATCCATGATTCCAAACATATCTGAAGACCCAGGCTTGACGCAGTGCATGCTGGGAAAGAGGTGGAGCATGAGGCACAAGTGGGGTGGGGAGCTATGAGGCTGACCACAGAGCTCAGGCTTGGTATGCTAGGTTTATGATTTGGGGGCTTAGCTTACAGACTTTGGGGAGTGACATAATTAAGTTGCCATTTTAGAAAGCTAACTCTGGTAGCAGAAAGGTAGAGTAAAGACAGGTGAAACAATTAAGAGACTTATAAAAGTTTAGATGAGAAATGAAAAGGCAGTGTAAATAAGGCAGTGGCTGTGAGGCAGTAAGGAGGGAAGAGATTTTAGAGAAATTTACAGGTTGACAAGGTTTAGAGATCTCTGGATTTGAGATACAAGTGACTTTCTCTTTTGGGCAACTGGGTGAATGATGGTGCCCTTAAATAGTTAAGGAAATCCAAGCACAGGCTTTAGTACTGAAGAGAAATAGCTTAATTTTAGATGCCTTCAATTTGGGACACATTCAAGGTACATTTTAAAGGATATTTCTCATAGAAAGTTAGCACATGAATCTAAATTTTAGGATTAATGTAGAAATATAGATTGGTGAGGAGTGAACCCCATCAATTTTAGGAGAAACACAGAATTGTAGATAGAAGGTCACTGATGACTAATCAAAGCAACTTTGGGAAGGTATTTTGAAAAGGGAAAAATCCAGATGGTGATTAAGGATGACTAATAAAGACAGAAGCCTTCCTTTCAAGACTTGACTTAAAAGTTAGTGGAATAATTAAAGCTGATTATTTTCTTTGGGTTTTTGGTTTCCAGTATCTTATTACCTTGTTTTTGTTTTTCAAAGATGGCAGCTAAAGGACAGGATCTCTACATTTAGAGGTACTTTTCCCACATCTCCAATGTTTGTAGGAAACATAGTCTAGATGTTACCAATTTTACTAAAGTTTCAAAGTATCATTCAGCGTAAATAGTTCACGTCTGCTTATTCTTTGTGTCACAATTAGTTTGACTGTTTTAAGATCATAGGATTAAAGATGATCATTTCTTTTACTCATAGGATCGGAAAATAGAAGATCTTCGACAGTGCCTGAACAGGTGCAAGAAAATGCAAGATATGGTGGGACTGGCCCAAGGTCAGAAAGGTAGAGTGTGGCTTTAAAGGTTTTTCTGCTTTGCTTGATTCTAAGTGGCTATGAATTTATACATTTGGCCTGTCTCTGCCCTGAGTCATATCCGTTGTCCCAAATTAGGTAGCTCATTCATTTATTGAAACGATATTATTAGGCAACTGTTCTCTGCCAGAAAGTGTACAGGCTGATGAGCAAGTGTACTGTGCATTGGTTGGTCAGGGAGAGCCTCTCTAAGGAGCTGATCAGATGGCATTTCAGAGAGAGAATACAACAGCACGTGCAAAGAGCATAGGGACAAAAGAACTTGGCACATTTAAGAAGTAGAATACCAGTGTGTCTGCAAGGCAGTGGGTGGTGGGGTGGGTGGGATGAGGTGAGACAGAGAGATGAGCAGCACCTGGTCGTGCAAGGGGCAGAGTTCAGCTCTTGCTCAAGTGCAAAGGGATCCACTGATGGGTTTTAAAAGTCAGCAACACGATCTTTGTAACACATGGGCCATGGATGGGGAGGCCGAGGTATTGGGAGAAGGGGATTCCAGACACTCTTGCAGTATTCCAAGTGGAAAAATCTGGTGGCACTAATTGGGAATATATCATGGTGTTAGAATCAACACATGGTGTGATGAATTTGATGAGGAGATTGAAGAAAAGGAAAAAATCAAGGATAGGCATTTCTTTCTTCCCCCAATAGATTTAAGTGGTACAGGTCAAGTGTTTTTTATTACATAGATGAATTATATTAATATAATGCTGAAGTCAGGGCTATTAGCGTACCTGTCATTGGAATGGTGTACGTTGTACCTGATAAGTAGATTTTTTCTCACCTCCTTCCCACCCTCCCCCTTTCTTAGTTTGTAATGTCCATTAGACCTCTTTATATGCATACCCCTCTTTTAGCTCCCACTTAGAAGTGAGAACATGAAGTGCTTGTTTTTCCATCCCTGAGATACTTCACTTAGGATAATGCTTTCCAGTTCGAGTTGCTGGAAAAGACATTATTTCCTTCCTTTTTATGGCCAAGTAGTACTCTATGGTGTATATATACCACATTTTCTTTATTCATTCATTAGTTGATGGGCACATAGGTTGATTCCATATCTTTGCAATTGTGAATTCTGTTGTAGTAAACATTCAAGTGCTTGTATCTTTTTTATAAAATGATTTATTTTCCTTTGGGTAGATAACCAGTATTGGGATTGCTGGATGGAATGGTAGGTCAACTTTTAGTTCTTTGAGGCATAATTTTTTACATCTCCATAATTTTTTACATAGGAGTTGTGCTAGTTTATATTCCTACCAACAGTGTACAAACGTTCCCTTTTCACATCATCCATACCAACATCTATTGTTTTTTGACTTTTTAATAATGGCCATTCTGATGGGGATAAGATAGTATCTCATTGTGGTTTTGATTTGCATTTCTCTGGTGATTGGTGATGTGGAGCACATCTTCATGTTTGTTGGGCATTTAGAGGGAGAGACATTCTGACTAAAGCAACTAGGCAGATGATAGTTCCATTAACCAAGGTAGGGAAACCTAGAGAAGTAACACTGGGGTGAGGAAGGGGGATAGAGTTCAGCTTTGAACATGTTAAGATCTAAAAAAATCCTATAAGATACATAAAGATAGTTAAGCATTTTGTTCTGTTTATTATTTTATCTGCACATGGGCTAATTGGCCATCCTCAAATGTGGGTCATTGAGGGTCATTCAAACAAACAAAAAATTAATAACTCTGAAAGTGCTCTTGTTTATTAACAGTGCTTATGTAGAGTTATTTGCTCTCAAGGGAAGCACCAGCAATAAGTCTTCTGGAAAGTACTCATGAAACACTCAAGATTTTGAAATTTTAATTTTGATGAGATGACAAAATCCTGCTTTGGACTAGAATTTTGGGGGAGGGGGGACAAAGGATCTTCATCTTTTTGTGCACAGGGCCTGGCATATTATTAAGCTTTTATGATTATTTGAGCAAATGAACATCTCATTATCAGTGTTGACTGTAGCAATTCTCATCACCCAACATTTTCCATGCCTTCAAAAGAGCTTTCTTCTACGGAATATTGCAAATTTGCAAGCGATTAATTTTTATATATGCATAGGATTTAAAATATTGTTTGATTTTATAGAACTTCAACAGTATAATTATTATGTTTAAAAACCAAGGAAGAAAAGATTAATTCCTGTGACTAGACTATATTGTGAAATATTTAAAAAATAGAGAAAAAGGGTAAAAATCATTCATCACATTGGTACGATCACTATTGGCATTTTTGTGTATTTCTTTCTAGTCTTTATTTTCTGTTCATATGAACCTGTAGATAAAAGAAATAGTTTTTAACTATGAACAGCAGGATAGATTTTCATAAACTGTTAAAAGTTATGTCCTGTTCTAATGAAGAGTTGTATACACAGTGATTTCTCACTAGGATTTATATTTATTGAGTTAAGCCTCACACAATTCTAATAACACCTAAATTCTAATAAAATTAGAACAACACTTTAGTAAAACCTAAGTTAAGAAGCTATGGTCTGGTTAAGATCATTAAACAAGTATGTGATTTACCATTTCATATTATTCAGAGATTAGAGATTTAAGTATCATTCTTTTTATTTTTAGAAAAGAATATCTGTCTGGCACTGTATTTTCATCCCTTAATCCTTTTCATTTCTAGAGATGTAAAAAGAAATTCTAAAGGTTGCTGCTTTGGTGGATATGAGGTTGCATTTTTCTTTGAGACTCTTTGTTCTGCTTTAAAAATGGCATAAAAGGATCCTCTTGAGAGATCAAAGGTTGTCCCTCTGTCTTCCTATTTTCCTTTCTATGTTTTTTCAAGAGTACAGCAGTGATGAAAATCAAGTTATTTCAATGGTGACTTTGTTGCTATTCAGAATTAGTTTTTTGTAACCAAGCATTTCTCAGCTTGCTCATTTTAAAATTAATATTGGTAGAACTTCTATTTTTAAGACAAACTTACAGGAGTGTTGTGGGAATACATTAACTTTTAGCTTTCTTTCAATCCTACGATTCAATGATTGTATCGAGTATGACTTCCTCTTTCAATGCCACTGGTCGGCACTCAATGTGGCCCAGAGCCCCTGTGCCTTCCATGGTCACAATTTAAGATGCTGTTTCTTAGGTCCCATGTCATTGTTTCTCAGGTGATGCCAGGGGAAGTTGACTCTTCCATTTTTGAAGATCAGAAAAACGTTTATATTTGATATGCTTGGGATTCTTAATCTTCCCAACGTGAAATATAAATGAAAAGCTGCCGTTGTCTTCTTTTCACTTTGTCTTCTAGGCAAAGATGGAGAGTATGAAGATCTGCTCCATTCCAACTCCATCTCGGCTTTGTTGGATGCACAGGGTTTTAGTGATCTCGAGAAAAGTCCACCGCCTACTCCAGTCATGGGATCTCCCAGTCGTGACCCATTTAACACAAGTGCTCCCGAAGAGGTATTTACAGACTTTCGGTATTTCCTTCGTATTGAAGAGACCGTGTCATGGAAGGTTAAAGCACTGTTCATGAGGTGAAAAATATGAGTTCTTTTCTCAGTTCGATGACTTTGTCTATTCTGGCAATCTTTGTGTTCTTTTTTTTTTTTTTGAGACAGAGTTTCGCTTTGTTGCCCAGGCTAGAGTGATTGCCGTGGCGTCAGCCTAGCTCACAGCAACCTCAAACTCCTGGGATCAAGCAATCCTTCTTCCACAGCCTCCCAAGTAGCTGGGACTACAGGCATGTGCCACCGTGCCCGGCTAATGTTTTGTATATATATGTTTAGTTGATCAATTATTTTTTTTTCTATTTTGGTAGAGACAAGGTCTCGCTCAGGCTGGTTTCGAACTCCTGACTTCCAGCGATCCGCCCACCTCAGCCTCCCACTTTGTGTTCTTTTTTTAAAAAAATGTGTAGTTTTCCTCTCTTTTTTAGTAAATGAGTTGGGCAATATCAAAATTACTTCTAAGATTCAGGAAAAACATAACTCCCTTGGAAATAGATATTATCATAAAAGTGAACTTTCAGTCTATTTCAGAATAAGTAGGAATAAGTAAAGTGGGGATAAAGTGAGCTTATAAATTGATTTTAGTTACTTCTTATGGTGACTCTGAAAAATGATTGAAAGAAATTCCGTCTGACTTCTTTAGACTTGGAAAAAGTAACAGAAGGGGAATAAACAGTCATAAACTCCTTTACATTTCATCAAACTGACACCAAAATCTTATCTATTGTACATCACCCCCAAAACTCTGTGGCTTGAATGACATTTATTTTGCTGATGACTCTGCAACTTGCGCAGGGCTCAGCAGGAACATCTGTTTATAGGCCCACCTAGATTTCAAGGAGAAAAAACATAGGCCCTACCTCTTGATGGACAAGGGACAACATCACATTGTAAGGACAGCTGGGATGGGATATATTGGTGCAACCAAAATACAATCTGCCACTCCACCCTCTGGCTACAACAGTTTATATCCTCCCAAGCAAAATGCACTCGTGCCCTCTCCAAAGACTCTTAAGTCACATTCCAATGAGTCCTCAGCATCCCAGGATCTTGTCATCTAGCTTGGGTCAAGATGTAGGTGAAGCTCCTCGGGTACACAGTGCCTTCGGCACTGCTTCTTGAGTAGCATTCCATTCAGTTTAAAGAGCTAGGAACTTGGGCCGGGTGTGGTGGCTCACTCCTATAATCCTAGCACTCTGGGAGGTCACTCAAGCTCAGGAGTTCAAAACCAGCCTGAGCAAGAGCGAGGCCCCATCTCTATTAAAAATAGAAAGAAATTAGCTGGACATGTAAAAACATATAGAAAAAATCAGCCAGGCACAGTGGCACATGCCTGTAGTCCTAGCTACTCGGGAGGCTGAGGCAGGAGGATTGCTTGAGCCCAGGAGTTTGAGGTTGCTGTGAGCTACGCTGACACCATGGCACTCACTCTAGCCTGGGCAACAAAGTGAGACTCTGTCTCAAATAAAAAAAAGAAGGAAAAAAAAAAAGAGCTAGGAACTTAAAGGACAAGTTATCTAGTTATCTGTCCCCGAGACAGCCAGCATACAATGGAGGGATAGGCATAATTTAATTGCTGTGGGCACGCCCATGAAAAAGGAGGGATTATGGAAGGCTCACAGGTGTCACTTAGTCCACAGTGATTCTGAAATCCAGCAAGGCTCCTGTTGCCTGTTCCTGGATTAGGGCTCAGTCCTCTGGTCTCTTGGCTCTTCCCTCCAACTCATCCTCCCTTTTCCATAAAAGGAGCCTATATTTGCAGATTAGCAGTTTTCTCAGCTTTGTCCCTGCAAAAATGCCCGTAGAGGTCCAAAGCCTCTTTCATTTTCTATTATCTCTGTCCCTCCCTTTGAGCCTAATTTGGTATAATACTTTACGTGTTTGGAATTTCATAGGAATCAATTTATGATCCACCCCATTAGGTAAGGATGTCCCGGCCCTCGGGATCTTTTGTTACTCGCGGGGGGAGGGGGAGGCTAGGGGGACCGTGCCTGAAAGAGATGGGCGAGAGAAAGGAAGGAGACCAAGCAAATGGTTGTCAAGGTCTACTTTACTTGGATTTTTAGTAGGTTTTATATACAGAAACAAGGAAGTAGAAACAGAAAAATAGAGTGGGGGGATGATGGGGCTTGGGTGTGGGCTAATCAGCCCCAATCAGCATCCCAATGGCACCAGAAGCTGTTTGTGATTGATCACTCAACCCCAACCTGGCAGGGGGTCGGGAACAATTGCAGGTAGCATGCCCTGGAGCAAGCACGTCGTGGAATGCATTCTTCTCGGAACTATAGCTGGAGGGCTGGGTGCTATTTTCGTCTTAGGCTATTTTCCGGGGCGAGGCCTGTGCTAGGACTAGTCCTTGGGATGTGGAGGGTCTTAGTCTCCAACATAGAGCACATCCCCAGATATCTTCACCACAAGCCTTTCTCTACCTTGGGTGTTCTATAAAGCTGTAGTGGAACATCCTGCTGGTTTTAGAGCCTTTAATCTTTTTGAAAGGTTCACTGGGGACAATACTACCTTAAATCTTTCAGAGATGTCAACAAAGGGTTTTATAGCCCATACCTTTGGCTTCCTTTGAAAACTAGGTTTTCCTGGCTGCACCTGTGCTTAATCTTTGCCCTGAAACCATTTCTTAATTTTAGTGTAATTTGTTATCTAGAGAGATTAGGAAGGGGAAATAGTTTCATTGTTTAAACAATCTTGTCTCCCCTTAGATTTAGCAGTTCCTTCTTTGGCCATCTCTCCTCTCAGATTTTATTAATACTCTAGGTAGAAGAAACCAAGTGGCATCTTTACTCTTCATATCTGTTGCAGGTAGTTACATAATGAGCAAAGGGAATTGAATGAAAACGAATTCAAGTAGAAAACAACTTTTCTCAAATGTAAGAGAGGGCTACAATGTTCCATTAATCAAGGAATTAAGGAATAAGAAATACTTTGAAGGGAAAAAAATCTCCTTAATTGTTAAATATATGTTTATACTGAAGGGGAAAATAACGTTTGGCAGCCAATGAGTGTACTGCATTTATAGGCAGGGGCTACTTTATATGTAGGATACACCCAGATAATCTCATCTCCTTTAACTGAAAACAAAAGTCTTTGCTATGTGAATTATAGTTTAATGATAGGTTTTGAGTTTATAACAAGAATGGTTTGGTGAGGATTTCATGAGTTCAGCCACATTTTTATAGAAAAGACAGGAGGGAGATTTGAGGTTGGAGTTGTCAATGGAAAAGAAGCCAAATTCTGTAAAATAATTTAAAGAGATTTATTTTGAGCCAAATTTGAGGATCATGGCCTAGAGCCACGCCCAAGAAGCCTTGAGTAAGTAGACTCTCTGTGGTTGGGTTAGTTTGCTTTTATGCTTTTCAGGGAGACAGGAATTATATGTAAAGTCATAAATCAATACCTAGAAAGCATATGTTGGTTTGGCCCAAAATGGTGGGACATCTCTAAGGTGGTGGGTTTACAGATTGTAGGTGGGTTTAAAGACTCTGATTTGTAATTGGTTAAAGAAATGAAACTAGACTGTTTTAAGTTAAGGAATTCTGTTAGAGACAAGCTGCCAGACCTACACCCAGACATAAGTGATTTGTTATGTAAATCGAGGACCTGCTGGTTTGTCTTGTATAGTCTTAGGCCTGTTAAGGATGTCTTTGACAAGAAGTGGGGGGCACGATGAGGCATGTCTGACTTCCCTTCTCATGGCCAGCAACTCAGTTTTAGGGTATCCCCTTGGCCAAGAGGGGGTCCACTCAGTCGGTGGCAGAGAGCCTTAAGATTTTATTTTAGTTTACAGAGTTAAAGCCTTAAAGTTTGAAAAAGAGATCAAGAAAATGGATCAGTCTGTTGGTGTAGTTATTTTTCCTCCATGATTAGGAATCCAAGGAGATAAATGAACTTCAGGAAGTGTTACGGAAAGCTTGGCACTTGTCCTCAAGTGTCCTCAAGGTTACATCGGAAGAATGAGAACAAGTGGTTGAGGAGGAGGAAAGAGAAGTTTCATTACTTTGATGGCAAAGGGGAAAATTGTAGACTGCTGTCTCAAAATCCAAAATTCCTGTCCATAAGCAGAATTACAGAGTTTTTAGAGGGAGGCCTCTAAACAGCTTCAGGCATTTGCTATTCAACTATGATTATTCTGATCTGACTCATCTCTAGGGAATACAGTCTCCTAACCTCTGCCCAGACCTTGCCTGGAGAGTTCCACTCTAGCTATCTCCTGTAGCACAAAGAACAAAGGTGATTCCTTTGCCCCTCCAAGCCAGTGGCCTGAGGCAGAGATGCAGGGTTTTTTTTAGTTCTCAAAAAGGATGTTTAAAAAGACAGAAAATATTTTTGCTGTTTTTTTTTTTTTCCCAGGCCATCCCCTCTGTTCCAGAAACAGTGATAACGGCTAAATAAGTTGCCCAGGTTGAATCATAAAGATGCAAACTGCAAAAATCGATAGTGAAATAATCTCCTATTTTATAATAATATAAAATGTGTAACCTTTTGTAGTGTAAAAGATGAAACCACCACTCAGTAACTGAAACAAAAATCACAGAGTTGAATGCATTATTTCCTTAAGTAAGTGGGCTTTGCTGGTCAAGTACATTTTTTTTTTTTTATTTTTTTAAAAAAACGAATAATTTTTTTTTTTTTTTTGAGACAGAGTCTCGCTTTGTTGCCCAGGCTAGAGTGAGTGCTGTGGCGTCAGCCTAGCTCACAGCAACCTAAGACTCCTGGGCTCAAGCGATCCTCCTGCCTCAGCCTCCCGAGTAGCTGGGACTGCAGGCATGCGCCACTATGCCCGGATGACTTTTTTTTTTTTTCTATATATATTAGTTGGCCAATTAATTTCTTTCTATTTATACTAGAGACGGGTCTTGCTCTTGCTCAGGCTGGTTTCACACTCCTGACCTTGAGCGATCCGCCTGCCTCAGCCTCCCAGAGTGCTAGGATTACAGGTGTGAGCCACCGCGCCCATGCCTATTTTGTTTCTTTTTTTTCCAGGACAGTTCTGGTGCAGGGTACATTTTCTTTAAGCTGATCATAGGTAGGGATTTTAGAATGCTGAGAGCTGAAGGATTGGTGGATTTACGGTGGCAAGCGTAAATTGACATCAGCTGGAAAGGTGTGGGTACTAAGGCGAGGATGCTTCTGATTGGTTGGTGTGTAGACGTGTTCAGTGATGTGAGTTGTTACAGGGCAGCTTTCAGAAGTGAAAAGTTGTCACTGCTTAGTTAACTTGCAGGAGCTCACTGAGGCAAATTTTGTTCATTTTCTCTGGAATATTTTTTAAAGTGTTGTCATTTATTAGTTTATGATGTGGTCCACAATCTAACTGGTCTACAGTTGTCAAAAATTATTAAAAGCTGAAAAAGTATTACAATTCGTTCAGACCCCGTTTTTAGGATGCACAAAGCACTTGTTTGTATTTTGTTGCTGTAACATTGTTATTATTAAGCAAAAGTGTTTTAAGTGGTAGCCACAAAGTACATTGTAATTGGTTGTAATTATACTTTCATCCATTCTGTTATTTGAAATTAGTCAACTAGTTCAGAGATAGAATGATACTTAACTGACTTGAGCAGTGTTCCATGTTAGACTAGTGGTAGAAATTAAAGTCAAAATAGAGCCTTGTAAACAAAGCACGTTACCCAAATCTCATGTTAAATCATTGCAACCCTGTAAGGTAAGCATTCTTCTCCTTTTACCGAGGAGGAAACGCATGCCTAGTGAAGTGACTTGCCTAAGACCACCTGGGCAAGTTGTCAGAGCCAAGATTCCAGCCAGGGCTTAAAGTTGATAGGATTTGCTATTAACTTGCTTCATGGTATTTAGTATATCTTATTCACAATATTCAGTTTTAGGGCCGGGCACGGTGGCTCATGCCTGTAATCCTAGCACACTGGGAGGCCGAGGCGGGCGGATCGCTCAAGGTCAGGAGTTCGAAATCAGCTTGAACAAGAGTGAGACCCCATCTCTACTAAAAATACAAAGAAATTAATTGACTGGCTAAAAATATATATAGAAAAAATTAGCCGGGCATGGTGGTGCATGCCTGTAGTCCCAGCTACTCAGGAGGCTGAGGCAGAAGGATTGCTTGAGCCCAGGAGTTAGAGGTTGCTGTGAGATAGGTTGACACCATGCACTCTAGCCTGGGCAATGAAGTGAGACTCTGTCTCAAACAAAAAAAAAATTCAATCTTATTCAGAACCAACTTCAAAAATCAACGTCCTCCAGAATGTCTCTCTGATTAATGCTCCTTCTGTGTAGATATTTATATTCTGAAATCATTTTATAGACATTAGAGTTCTAAACACAGGTCTATGAGATTTTTATCATGGACTATTTAATCATCTTATTTATGTTTTGTTACTCTGTAGCTTGTGTTTTGTTTGGTTGATTGATTTTTGACTTTTTATAATTACAGTTCCATACCAGCATCTTGAAAGTTTCAATCCCTTCATTATTGCCAGCATCTATAGATGTGGAAACTTCTGAAAATTCAAAGTTGCCTCCCAAGGCTGAGACTTCATTTGAGGAGAAGTATGTCGTTTATGATCTAACATTGCAATGCGAATGTTCAAAAAAGTACCTCAAGGCCAGGCGCGGTGGCTCACGCCTGTAATCCTAGTACTCTGGGAGGCCGAGGCGGGCGGATTGCTCAAGGTCAGGAGTTCAAAACCAGCCTGAGTGAGACCCCGTCTCTACCATAAAAATAGAAAGAAATTAATTGGCCAACTAATGTATATAATATAAAAATCAGCCGGGCATGGTGGTGCATGCCTGTAGTCCCAGCTACTCGGGAGGCTGAGGCAGGAGGATTGCTTGAGCCCAGGAGTTTGAGGTTGCTGTGAGCTAGGCTGACACCACGGCACTCACTCTAGCCTAGGCAAGAAAGTGAGACTCTGTCTCAAAAAAAAAAAAAAAAAGTACATCAGCCAAAGACAAGAGTACATTGCATTTGTACAGGCACAACTTTTACCCAGATTGCAAGAAACAGCAAGGCATCTCTGGTTGGGGGTGGGGAGGAGACGAGATGTAATCAGTTCTGTATTATTGAAATAAAAGGGGTGAAACAGGAAGTAATAGAAGATGAGGCTGGGGAGGTGGGGTGGTCGGGTTAGAGAAGGATTTGAAAGAACTGGGATTTTTACATCCTGGGTTATAAGCAGAATAGTCACAGGCATGTGCCATGAAGCCATTTGGAGGATGGCTATGAAGGAGACAAAAGAGGGATACAGTAGTTTCTCTGTGGGCAAATAGAATTTTTTGCTAACATATTCTCAAATTATTTGTCTAATCTTAAAATTTAAGCCAAATAAAATAAACTATTTAAAAAAATAATTTCTTTTGCATAATTTTTTGTTTTTGACAGTTTTATTCACTTAAAGTATATATGGTCTTTTGCTCATGAAGTTAATAAATCTCTCTCTTTTTTTTTTTCTTTTAACATTATAGTGATGGAAAAATAATCCTTGGTGCTGCTGTGGAAACCCAGCTATGTGATAGTGTTTTGTAAGTTATATTTTCTTGAATGTAAAAAATGTTATTGAGGCTTGATAAAGAAGAGAGTTCTGTTATATTAATAATTTCTTCATTAAATTGATGAAGAAATTAATGCAGCCATAATGATTGGCTGTGGGTGGAGGTGAGAAGGTTGTAAATTTACAAAGAAATGCTCATTTACTATTATGTCACGCCAGCCTTTTACAAATCTAGCCTATTTTCATCCATTTTCATTTGAAGGCCAGTACTTTTAATTCATTTTTGTACTAATAGTTTAAGTCCAGCAGAAAAAAATATCAGAAGACGATGTGATGGCTGGAAAAGCTAAGATAGGTTTTTTTTTTGTACTTTCAATTTTATAAACTGAACTAATATCTATGTTTATCCAAGTTAAAGTCTGGGTATAATTAAGAGAGTCTATTTTTAGAGCAATACTCATTGCTGAGGTCTTCTCTGTTCTTAGTATCATCTTTTACTTTATTTGGTAGTTGATACTTCTAGCAACTTATATACACATAAATGCAGGAAAATACCTTTTAAAAGTTTATATGTTTATATTATTCTATTTCTTAGAGCAAATACATTCATATTCTCTCTCTCTCAACTGGTCAGATATTCCTGCCTTCAATTTTTGAGTAGCACCAGCTCTATATAATTGAACATTAATTATATGAAAGAGGAAGTCTCTGGATAATTATAGTGTCACTTTGCTTTTTCTAGGATAGCAAATGAATTTTAATGGGCAGAAATAGGGATTCCTCTATTATGCTTTGGTCCGAACTATGAAATGAATTGCTTTGCCACACTCAGAAAAGTGATTCTTTTGTGAATTGAAAAGCAAAACTTTCATTCATTATTTTACTTAGAAGTATTAGATATAAATAATATATGAATATTTTAAAAGTCCCTGGTGTAAATGTATACATAAAAAGGACGCACAGTAAGTTCATGGAAAACACTGGTTTATCTTCAAATATCGACATCACAAGGATAGTCCCAAGTATTTTTCCAGCTATTCTAATATGTGCAGGACATTTAGAGTCATTGGCAGGACAGTTAACCTCCCCTGCTTTTAAAAAAACTAAATGTTGTAATTTAGTTAAGCACATAAGTGACTGCCTGGTTCCAGGTTTTCTTTTATTACCGGGATTCAACCTACACTCAGTTTTAGTTTCTTTCCAAGATGTTCTACTTAGAAATAGTAGTACCACAGCCATTTATTATTAATCCTAATTATTATTACTGTTATTTTTAGAACTTCAAGTCTGCAAAAGTCCAGCAGCCTGGGCAATCTGAAGAAAGAGCAATCAGATGGGGTAGGTGCTGTGTTTCTTTTTTCTGTTATCCTGAGAAGAAAATATCTAGGAATCTTCATCTTTTCCCATTTTGCAAATAAAACTCTTAAGAAGGGCTTGTGGTTTCTCTAAAGGAAAATTATTAGATATCAAGGCTAATGATGAATATTTAGTATGAATATGAAGTATTGAAAGTAGTATGTAAAACCCAAAATGGAGACTATAATAAAACATTGTAGGAAATAAATGAAACGTAAGATTTGATAGCTTAGAAGCAGATGTAATTTTTCTTAACTTATTGAATTAATTGTATGTTACAAAGTTAGAATATATAAAGGATTCCTATAACAACCTTCAATATTGTTGTTGCTTTGAACAGGAAAAGGAGTCTATTCAGAAGACTTCAGAGGTAATTTTTACGAATTACGACATAGGAATGTTTTTGACTTCTGGTACATGTAAATTGCTTAAATGTCTCCAGTAGACCAAAACTTGCAGAACCTCCAAAACATTATGCTAAGTGAAAGAAGCCAGACACAAAGGTTACATCTTCTATGATTCCATTTATATGAAGTATCCAGAATAGATCAGTCCATAGAGACAGGGTGCAGACTGGTGGTTACCAGTGGCGGGAGGAGGGGAGAATGGGGAGACACCATTTAATGGTAAGGAATTTTACTTTCTGATGGTGGAAATGTATTGGCACTAGGCAAAGGTGGCGGTTGCACAACATTGTGAATGTACTAAATGGCACTGAGTTATTCACTTTAAAAATCATCATTTTTGTTGTGTGAATTTCACCTTGATTAGTTATTAAAAAACAAAACTGTTATCTCCCAGTCATGCTATTTGATGTTCTTCATGACCGTAACTGGGCTTCCTTAGACCTCACAGAAAGCCCTTCTTAGCTTGCCAGCAGTTTATTTTATACAACCATTGTCCATCCAAAGCAAACATTTCGGTATTTTTAAAGACGTAATTAGCAGGTGCTCCAGTTCTTCTTACCCTTGATTTTCGATAAATAACCTTTGCAGGTTATAGTCCAAAAGTCAGGCTACTTCTAGATGTGTCTCGTGACTGCTGGTTCTTAGTGCCTGAGTCGCCTGTGGACGGGACTGACAAAGCAGTCAGTGGTGACAGCTGTAATTAAAGTCCTTTTTGCCTTGTCAGTTCAGTAAGTGGTTAAATGTTTTTGCCATCAGTGTTGAGACATTGATTATAATACCACTAAGTCGTGCCATCTATAAACTTTCAGTCTCCATGAGCAGTATTAATGTAGGGTAAAATAATAACCTTAAACGCCTGTATCCCCTCACCCTTCTCTCCACTTCTGCAAAAAGAGAAAACAGTGGGCAAGAGATATCAGAGTAATGAGAACAAGCAAACCAAAGCATGTTTGTATAATACTGAAACAATGTGTAACATACTATATTACTATACTTGCCCATTCAAATAACCAAAAAGCTCAAAATAAACACTTCCTGATTGTGCCTTCATTTTTTTCATTCTTTGGGAAGAATATTTAAAATGACTTGAGTAGAATCTCCTTATATTGCTGGTAGAGAAGCCGAGGAATAATACCTGCTTTCTAGGATAATTATATTGGGCTTCTAAAACTTCCGATGTAGTTTTAAAAGTAAGTGAACTGCATTATAGCCAAATCTGTGTCATGATTGTGAGATAAGAAATCCACTGGTAATTATTCCAGTTATGTGATATCCTTCTGTATTTTGAGGAATGAGGCAAATAAAATTTTAGAATTTTTGTATCCTAAATACTTAAGGCCCTAAACACATTGATTATAGACTTGCGGTGAATGTGTTTTTCTTGTTGCTTTTGTTGTTTCTTGAGCAGCTCTCAGAATTGATTCTTTGAACTTCTGATGTTGCATTTGATATTGGTAATCAATGCATTAGTTCAGTTATTCTTTCAAATAAGTCCGCGCGTGCAGCATGACTGTTTAGTGTTGAGCTGGCAGGGACTAGTGATGGTGCACCTTCATGCTGAGATTCGTTATCCTCACCTACTTCTCAGGATAAACCTCCAGCGGAAAGCAGCCCGTTCGGAAGTCTCCCTCCCAAAGCTCCAGGACACAATGCCTCCATGGATGACAACCCCTTTGGCACTCGGAAAGCCAGATCTTCCTTTGGCCGGGGATTTTTTAAAATCAAAAGTAACAAGAGGACAGCAAGTGCCCCAAACTTGGGTATGTGTGGCCAAAATAAATGCCTGTTCCCTAATTGTTTCAGAAGGAGGAAAAAAAGAGCAGTCTCTTACCTTCACTTATCTCTTCATTCATTTATTCATTTCTCTTTCTCAGAAACGAAGGTGAATGACTTAGGGGGAAAGTTAGCAAAAAATGCTTTGGAGGATTTCATTAGTGGTGGGAAGATACACAGACTCTCACCCTCTTTCTCCTGTGGTATAAACTTAGTGGAAAGACCTAAAGTCATGATTTCCCTTGACATCATTATAGAGTTTCCTGTCTGTTTTGATATTGGATAAATTAACATTGACAATCCTACTGATCCTGTGCGTAACCTCAGCAGCACAGTGTGGTGCATGCCTTTCCTCCACCGTGTGCATTTCGTGAGGAGGAGTCTGATCCATGTTTCATTTTGTCATCCCCCTGTGTTCTCTCCATTGGGCTGCGTGTGATTGTGTGCGTTGTTGGGATATCTGAAGATCGTAAACGAAGTGCCAGTGCACCCACCTTAGGTATCGTACCCTGCATGCCGGTCTGTGCCAGTGCTGTGCTCCAAACCCATCTAATCCCTGCTCATGGCATCTGTCATCTCTAGAAAGGCAGCTAGCAGCAATCAGAAAATGGAGTTCTTGATTCCAGAGTGTTCCTTTCACTTTCTGCTAAAAAGGACTCTGTGCAGGCTTCGCTTCCAAGTCTAAACGCTGTTTTAACCAATGCTAAGGACACCTGTGAGTAGCACCCAGAGGACCTAGAAATACACAGCATCTCTCTGAGGGCAGGGCAGGATTGTCCTGGCATTGTACCTTCCTGCTCTTTCACCCTTGAAATGCATGTGTATCATCACACGCTAACTCCCAAGTCCGTGAAATCCCTTCTTCATACTTACATTTCCCCCACCCTCCAAAAAGAAATGTTTTTAGCCAAATAAGATTTGTAGAAGATGTTGAAGATGATAATTTTAGGCTTCTCATAGAGGAACATTCTTCTGACACTTTATTGCTTGGAAGATGGAGGTAATATCTAGTGACAACAGAAGTACCTGTGCATGTTATGTGGCAAGTCACTCCCCGAAGTGATTTGAGGAGAGAGGCAGCTCAGCAGGGCACAGGACAGCCGGGGGGGAAAGTTCTTAAAATAAAAAGTAGCAATATGGTGGTTTCGAGGTGAGAATGAGCTAGGCACCATTGTCAGGGGTGCCTGTACCCATCACGGTTGTAGGGTTTAAACTGGAAAAGTTCCTTTGGGTTTTTCTAAGAGGTGCTGTTACCTCATGTGGATATCTACACATCTATTCACGTGGACCAGCAACCGTGACTCCTCTCTCTTTGTAGGCTTAAAAGTCCAGAATGAACACTGGATGCATAATATCTATTCAGACAACTATTTTCAAATAGTTTTTTTTTTTTTCTTTTTGCATGTTTCTTAGAAGAACTGTATTGTTAATGCTGAGGCAAGTGCTGCTTGTTATAACCTAGAATCACAGCTATGCTTTATAGAAAAGTCAACTTCCGCAACTTGTATATCTTGCTGAAACACTGTTCTGTGATTTTTGTGCAACTTTTACTTTCCTTTATAAAGCAGTAAATCTCACATCGAGGAGAGCAGTAGCCATAGTGTTTGCTAGTGTGGGATCACCCACTGAAGGACAGCTAAAAGAACTAAAATAGTTAAAGCTTAGAGATCTGGGCATGACAAATGTGGGTGTCATTCTTTTAAGGTAAAATCAATAGGCACTCAATCAAAGTTTTCTTTACATCAAAAGAAACACACATGTCTAGTTCCTTGTTCTCGCAGTGCCTAGGACATAATAGGTTGGAATACATTTCTTAAAGAATTGCTAGAACTTGGTAATATATTTGGTGTAAATGCCAAAGGAGAAGGAGGAATAAAAAAGAAAATGACACCAAGGGAGGTGGCTCACGCCTATAATCCCAGCATTTTGGGAGGCTGAGGCAGGAGGATTGTTCGAGACCAACATGGTTGACAGTGTGAGACTCCATCTCTTAAGAAAAATATAGTTTGAATTAGAATAACAGGGGGAGTGTTAGTTAAATACCAAGTAAGAAAATATGAGAGGAAAAGACTCTCGGGGAAATCGGATGGGTTCGTAGAGTCCCAAATATCCCTGGCATACTGAATTGGGAATATTCACATTCAGATATTGAGGCTGGAGAGAGACTTGAGGCCCACTGGTTTTAATGCCACCTACCTGTAAATGAGTAAAGCCATTATTTAGTGCTGAGCTTAGATTCAGGTGAACTTGTCAAGAGATCCTGCAGAGTGAACTGAGAATCTTGGAGCAGAATGGAGGAGGAGAAGAAAACAGGAGAGCTGCAGCAAAGAAGGAACTGTCAGTTGACAGATCTAGGAGAGTGTCAGGACAGGAAGCTAAAGGAGATGATTTTAAAGGATGCAGGAGGTACACAATAGCACCAAGTGCCACAGCAACGTTGAGTCTAATTTTATTAATATTATGAATTCAAATCGAGGAAAGAATATGGCAATCTTATCACACTCTTTTAATCTTCAAAGGAGTTGCAATTTTAAGTTTATTAACTTTACACACAATAAACTGTAGAGTAGAATGCACATTTGTGTTCCATTTTTAATACTTACGGAGTGCCCTTTGTAAATCACTGATATATAGACCAGCAGAAGAAGAATTCTAAACAGTTGCTAACACCAAGAAGATTAGCACCTAATCATGTTCATATCATATTTAAAAATTCATGAAGTCTTTGTTCTGTTCTTGGAATAGCTGAGACAGAAAAGGAGACAGCAGAGCACCTAGATCTGGCTGGTGTGTCTTCTCGGCCAAAAGGTTCCCAGGGGAACAGTCCCTTCCAGATGTCTCCACCATCTCCAGACTCCAAAAAGAAATCCAGAGGTATCATGAAACTCTTTGGAAAGTAAGTAAAAGAGCGAACAAGTGGAGTGGGTCTTGTCTTGTATGTGGCTCAAATGTAGGGATAATTGGAAAACTGGCTGAAAATGGACATGGAATTGTAAGACTTTTCATATTCCTCTTATGGAAAGAAGGTTGTGATTTGGGATTCATTAGCTCATTGGGTCTCAGTTAAAGTTTAAACTCAAACGTCTGTAGTGATGACATACAAAGAGGATAGGCTCGAATATATGTGTTGACTAAAAAATGTTCCGATTAGCAAGTCTAAGGCCTCCTCAGGACTAATAAGGCAATTCGTGTCGTGTCTTCTTCAGACTTAGGAGAAGTCAGTCAACGACATTCAACCCAGATGACATGTCTGAGTCTGAATTCAAAAGAGGAGGGACAAGGGCAACTGCAGGGCCCCGGTTGGGTTGGTCTCGAGACTTGGGACAGTCTAACAGGTAAGAACAGCCAAGCTAATGGACTTTTTGCATCTCTACCATTCATCAAGGCCTCATGAGCTCCTGCAGTGTTCATGCCGTCATTGGGTTAAACAAAGTCGTTGCTTACTCTATGCTTAGCGGGAGGGTCCATCATCTTTAGAGCAGTGCAATTTGTCAGTGGTTGATGAACAATAATACAGAAGGTGAGAGCTATGCAAACTAGCTGAGAAACCAGAGCTGAAGTGTCAACATCTGTATTAGAATCATTCTTGGGCTTACATTTTATGTAGACAGTAATTATAAGTACTCTAAAGCATAGCTTTAGAAAGGTGAGATAGCATAGTGGTTAAGAGCAGGTTCTAAAAGGTGACAACTTGGATTTGATTTCTGGCCTTATGATTTTTCTACCAGTTGGGTGACCTTGAGCAATGGCTTCTCAGGCATGCTCTGTGCCTTAGTTTTCTTATCATAGTAATTAGTATCTACTCGAAAGGGGGATTAGTGCAGATTAAATGAGTTAATATGTGTTAAATATCTGGCAAATAATAATAATAACTGCTCAATAAACATTAGTAATTGATGGAATCTGTGAAAGCACTTAAAGATGTAAATTCTATCAGAATTCTTAGATTTATCAAGACTATGTAATGTTTTACCTATTAAGTCTCTAAGAACATATGGGCATGGTGGCTCATGCCTATAATCCCAGCGCTTTGGGAGGCTGAGGCAAGAGGATCGCTTGAGGCCAGCCTGCCAGCTTTGAGCAACATAGCCAGATTTCATTAGTACAAAAAATAGAAAAAGTTAGCTGGGCGTGGTGGTGCTGCACTCCTATAGTCCCAGCTACCAGGGAGGCTGAGGCAGGAGGAACGCTCGAGCCCAGGAGTTCAAGGCTGTAGTAAGCTCTGAACATACCATTGTGCTCTGGCTTAGGCAACAGAGCTAGATCATGTCTCTACTAAAAAAAAAAACAAAACCCAAGACTCTAAGAACTTCCACACTCTTATCAAAGTTCAGGGCTGGTTTATAGGTACAACATTGACTGACTAAGCATAAAAGGGTGGGGTTGGCAACCATAAAGTACAAAGTGTTGATACCAAATCTTTTAAAAGTATAATGGGCTAGAAACTTTTAAACACAGTCCCTCCCATGCGGGCAGAAACCGGACACAGGTTTCACCAAGGAGGAACCTCTCTTTGTCCTTCTTCAAATACCAAATAGTCTCATTTGCCATATGCTCTCTTTCAACACAGCAGCAGGGGACCTCCTTGTGCTCGTTTAAAAACCGGAGTACAATGGTAATGTTCAGAGCTTACTAAGCCTTGAATCCTGGGCTCGAGCGTTCCTCCTGCCTCAGCCTCCCTGGTAGCTGGACTATAGGAGTGCAGCACCACCACGCCCAGCTAACTTTTTCTATTTTTTGTACTAATGAATCTGGCTATGTTGCTCAAAGCTGGCAGGCTGGCCTCAAGCGATCCTTCTTGCCTCAGCCTCCCAAAGTGCTGGGATTATGGCATGAGCCACCATGCCCATATGTTCTTAGAGACTTAATAGGTAAAACATTACATAGTCTTGATAAATCTAAGAATTCTGATAGAATTTACATCTTTAAGTGCTTTCACAGATTCCATCAATTACTAATGTTTATTGAGCATTATTATTATTATTGCCAGATATTTAACACATATTAACTCATTTAATCTGCACTAATCCCCTTTCGAGTAGATACTAATTACTATGATAAGAAAACTAAGGCACAGAGCATGCCTGAGAAGCCATTGCTCAAGGTCACCCAACTGGTAGAAAAATCATAAGGCCAGAAATCAAATCCAAGTTGTCCCTTTTAGAACCTGCTCTTAACCACTATGCTATCTCACCTTTCTAAAGCTATGCTTTAGAGTACTTATAATTACTGTCTACATAAAATGTAAGCCCAAGAATCATTCTAATACAGATGTTGACACTTCAGCTCTGGTTTCTCAGCTAGTTTGCATAGCTCTCACCTTCTGTATTATTGTTCATCAACCACTGACAAATTGCACTGCTCTAAAGATGATGGACCCTCCCGCTAAGCATAGCTAAGCAACGACTTTGTTTAACCCAATGACGGCACGAACACTGCAGGAGCTCATGAGGCCTTGATGATGGTAGAGATGCAAAAAGTCCATTGCTTGGCTGTTCTTACCTGTTAGACTGTCCCAAGTCTCGAGACCAACCCAACCGGGCCCTGCAGTTGCCCTTGTCCCTCCTCTTTTGAATTCAGACTCAGACATGTCATCTGGGTTGAATGTCGTTGACTGACTTCTCCTAAGTCTGAAGAAGACACGACACGAATTGCCTTATTAGTCCTGAGGAGGCCTTAGACTTGCTAATCGGAACATTTTTTAGTCAACACATATATTCGAGCCTATCCTCTTTGTATGTCATCACTACAGACGTTTGAGTTTAAACTTTAACTGAGACCCAATGAGCTAATGAATCCCAAATCACAATCTTCTTTCCATAAGAGGAATATGAAAAGTCTTACAATTCCATGTCCATTTTCAGCCAGTTTTCCAATTATCCTACATTTGAGCCACATACAAGACAAGACCCACTCCACTTGTTCGCTCTTTACTTACTTTCCAAAGAGTTTCATGATACCTCTGGATTCTTTTTGGAGTCTGGAGATGGTGGAGACATCTGGAAGGGACTGTTCCCCTGGGAACCTTTTGGCCGAGAAGACACACCAGCCAGATCTAGGTGCTCTGCTGTCTCCTTTTCTGTCTCAGCTATTCCAAGAACAGAACAAAGACTTCATGAATTTTTAAATATGATATGAACATGATTAGGTGCTAATCTTCTTGGTGTTAGCAACTGTTAAGAATTCTTCTTCTGTTGGTCTATACATCGGTGATTTACAAAGGGCACTCCGTAAGTATTAAAAATGGAACACAAATGTGCTCTACTCTACAGTTTATTGTGTGTAAAGTTAATAAACTTAAAATTGCAACTCCTTTGAAGATTAAAAGAGTGCAATAAGATATTCTTTCCTCAATTTGAATTCATAATATTAATAAAATTATACTCAACGTTGCTGTGGCACTTGGTGCTGCTGAGTACCTCCTGCATCCTTTAAAATCATCTCTTTTAGCTTCCTGTCCTGACATCTCCTAGATCTGTCAACTGACAGTTCCTTCTTTGCTGCAGCTCTCCTGTTTTCTTCTCCTCCTCCATTCTGCTCCAAGATTCCAGTTCACTCTGCAGGATCTCTTGACAAGTTCACCTGAATCTAAGCTCAGCACTAAATAATGGCTTTACTCATTTACAGGTAGGTGGCATTAAAACCAGTGGGCCTCAAGTCTTTCCAGCCTCAATATCTGAATGTGAATATTCCAATTCAGTGTGCCAGGGAATTTGGGACTCTACGAACCCATCCGATTTCCCGAGAGTCTTTCCTCTATATTTCTTACTTGGATTTAACTAACTAACTAACTCCCTGTTATTCTAATTCAAACTATATTTTTCTTAAGAATGGAGTCTCACACTGTCAACCATGTTGGTCTCGAACAATCCTCCTGCCTCAGCCTCCAAAATGCTGGGATTATAGGCGTGAGCCAGCTCCCTTGGTGTCATTTTCTTTTTATTCTCCTTCTCCTTTGGCATTTACACCAAAATATATACCAAGTTCTAGCAATTCTTTAAGAAATGTATTCCAACCTATTATGTCCTAGGCACTGCGAGAACAAGGAACTAGACATGTGTGTTTCTTTTGATGTAAGAAAACTTTGATTGAGTGCCTATTGATTTTACCTTAAAAGAATGACACCCACATTTGTCATGCCCAGATCTCTAAGCTTTAACTATTTTAGTTTCTTTTAGCTGTCCTTCAGTGGGTGATCCCACACTAGAAAACACTATGGCTACTGCTCTCCTCGATGTGAGATTTACTGCTTTATAAAGGAAAGTAAAAGTTGCACAAATCACAGAACAGTGTTTCAGCAAGATATACAAGTTGCGGAAGTTGACTTTTCTATAAAGCATAGCTGTGATTCTAGGTTATAAAAAGCAGCACTTGCCTCAGCATTAACAATACAGTTCTCCTAAGAAACATGCAAAAAGAAAAAAAAACTATTTGAAAATAGTTGTCTGAATAGAATTATGCATCCAGTGTTCATTCTGGACTTTTAAGCTACAAAGAGAGAGGAGTCACGGTTGCTGGTCCACGTGAATAGATGTGTAGATACCACATGAGTAACAGCACTCTTAGAAAACCCAAAGGAACTTTTCCAGTTTAAACCCTAAAACGTGATGGGTACAGGCACCCCTGACAATGGTGCCTAGCTCATTCTCACCTCGAAACCACCATATTGCTACTTTATTTAAAACTTTCCCCCCGCTGTCTGTGCCCTGCTGAGCTGCCTCTCTCCTCAAATCACTTCGGGGAGTGACTTGCCACATAACATGTAAAGGTACTTCTGTTGTCACTAGATATTACTCCATCTTCCAAGCAATAAAGTGTCAGAAAGAATGTTCCTCTATGAGAAGCCTAAAATTATCATCTTCAACATCTTCTACAAATCTTATTTGGCTAAAAACATTTCTTTTTGGAGGGTGGGGAAATGTAAGTATGAAGAAGGGATTTTCACGGACTTGGGAGTTAGCGTGTGATGATATATATGCATTTCAGGGTGAAAGAGCAGGAAGGTACAATGCCAGGACAATCCTGCCCTGCCCTCAGAGAGATGCTGTGTATTTCTAGGTCCTCTGGGTGCTACTCACAGGTGTCCTTAGCATTGGTTAAACAGCGTTTAGACTTGGAAGCGAAGCCTGCACAGATCCTTTTAGCAGAAAGTGAAAGGAACACTCTGGAATCAAGAACTCCATTTTCTGATTGCTGCTAGCTCTTTCTAGAGATGACAGATGCCATGAGCAGGGATAGATGGGTTTGGAGCACAGCACTGGCACAGACGCATGCAGGGTACGATACCTTAAGG